ACTTTAAATGTTTAAATAAGTTTAAATAAGCATATTATTTTCTAAGTTTAATTCTGTAAGTAGTATCTATGATTGGTATGATGCAAGCAGCAAAAAACTAGAAGCAAAAAACTGCAAAGACAGAAAGGGCCAGAGGCATAGATTTATTTTTTATTTTTTTTCTTTAGCTATATCTATAGTAATAAATTAAACTAAAATCTGAAGGCTAGTCTCTGGACTGAGGCCAACTGGCAGGTCTGAGGTCATGTCTATAAAAGCTTTTATGGTAAAATAGTTTGATAAGGTGAGTTTGAAATGATTCCTGAATTGCACTAACCGGTGAACTTTTTAAGTTTCAGAATTGGAGATAATATCTAACTTCCATAGTAACTGTAACAGAAACAGTGATGACTTTGTAAATATATGGATTATTCCACATCAGGATTTGAATTTAAGTCGTGGACCTTAGTGTAGTAGTGTAAGAGTAACATCTGTGAAAAGGAGGTACTATATTCCTCCCTTCCTTGTATTATTAGAAAAGTTTGCATCATTAGCTTCATTGTTCTTATTTACTTACCTAAATCACAGTTAAGTCGAAGACCAGACTGTCACTGTTGGACACTAAATGAATCACACGGACGTAGTTCAAGGTGTGGTGAAAGAAAAAGCAAACATTATTTGTCCTTTCAGTATTTATAGATTTCTGACCATGACCAGGGATTGGATAGTCAGGTTAACACCTTCCCAACTGCACTGGCTGTGAGAGACGTCCATCAAAAGGCACATCTTTAATGGAATGTATAAACACCTATGTTTACGGTTACTTTCTTGGGAAAGTGGCTAGAACTTGTAGAAAAATAATATCGAGGGCCTGATTCTCAGGGAGACACAGACCAAGAAATCAGCTTCAGGCCCAGGAAATACACTGTCAGAGAAATGAGAAAAAATATATAGTTGACTTATTTGTTCATCTGTAACACGGAAGTGTGTGCTCACCTGCTGAACAGTACTCAGGGCAAAGTCAGCACCAACAGATGAGAGCAGTCTAAAATTAGGCATTTTACTGCAGAATGAAAATGTAATGACTGTGAGTGAACTGGTATATATTCTAGCTAGATAAATCGACTGCAGGTAATAAGATATTATGCCCTATTCTGTAAATGCTATTAATATGGAATTGCTGGGGTTTCCTTTGCTGAAGGAAGGTGTCTTAGGACTGTAGAATTATAGGGTATTTTGGCCAGAAGAGACTTCAGGAGGTCTTTAGTCTAACCTCCTGCTCAAAGCATGGGCAACCAAGGTCACAACAGGTTGCTCAGTGCTTTATTCAGTCAGATTTTGTAAACCTCCAACACTGAAACCTGCAAAACTTTCTGAGTAGAGAGGTCCAGATGTGCCATTCCTAAAGTTGTCTCAGACACCCTTGAAAAGCCATGAAGGTTTCAAAACCAGTTCTAGGTCAAAATTGATCCGACCTTTTAAATGTGCATTAAGAAAAAGTTTCTCTTGATTGTAGTGACAGTAAGTTTATTGTTTTGTTGTAATTTTACAAAAATAAACATTCTACTGCAAGGAACAGTTTGAGTATGAAACCAGAAAATGTAAGCCTCCAGACACTGAGTGAAAAATAAGCTGTCTTTTTTTAAGCTAATAAATCTATAAATAATAACTAAATATAATGACAGTGAAATATGTTCTGAACTTTAATTAAACAATTGTCTTCAATACAACTGGGAAAAATAGGGATTATTTGCTTTATAATATATGATAATAAAACCTCTACTTCTTGTGGTTCACAACTCATATTTGGTATAGAGGTTTTAAATATCTTGTTGCTTTTGTTTAACAGACTGAATGATAGTATTACAGTCTAAACAGTTCAATGGTATTAGTGAATTATTTATTGTTGTTAAGCATGGCTACATTCAAAGGCAATTTCTAGAAACACGTGAAAGTTTCATTCTTGTTTCTAGACAAGATTGATTGAACCCTAGAACAAAAGATTTCCCTTTTCTATAAGAATAAAACAGGCTAAAGAATTTTTATTCCCAGCCAGACTGCACAACATGACTGACACAATACTTTTTCTGAACATCCCCCTTTCCCTCCTCCTCTTCTACCATTTGTTTTGTTGCTTTTTTACCATTTTATGGTAATGCTAAAAATTAATCATCACTGAAAAATGTTAGAAGGTAAAGACATTATGTAAAAGGACTTGGATTTCATACAGACATTGCCATGTTATATCAATAGTTATCAAATTATTGTCTGACCTTTCCGTCCTTCTAACCTGCAAGGCATTGAGCAATGGGTTTAGTACTGTTTAGACAGAATTCATCTTCAGGTTATAATTAATTCGCCAGTATTTAATCACTACATTTGTGTGATTACAAATGAGGAAACTGTGAACTATTACTGCTAGCTTGGACTGAGGCACAATTACTGGTAGCTTACCCAGCAAAAGTGCTTGAGAGTTGCTGTATGCATTTCCACATTTATAATTATGCAAAAAGCCCTGTCATCTTACTTGACCTTTAAAACACCCAATGTGCTGATTGTAGAAAAACTACTTTAAAAGCCTGATGGAAATTTCATAGAGTGCATATATGACCCAGTGATTGTATCATCAGCAAATGCTAAACAATAATGGTTTAAAGTCATTATTCTAATTTGGCCAGACCCTGCTAGATTCAATCAAACACAATCAGAGGTGCATGGCTGACATTCTAACAAGTTTAGGGCAAAGGCAGCTCATGCTTTGAATTGCATTAACTTGTTTTCTGATACCAAATACTGTGAATTCATTTCAAAATATTCTTTTAATTTATGCACACAAAAATACTTTTACATATCAATCACATAAGCTATTAAGGACAAGCTAAAAAATATGTCTAAAGCAAATGTGAAAAGAACTACATCAATATGGTGTTTGTGTGACAGAAGTACGTACATGATCATGTAACTAGTTACAGCATTAACATCTCAAAACATGTAGAAGAAATAGTAATTAAGAGAAGAATAGATGAGAAGTTGTTTGAGCAGCTGTACCACTTAGCACATCTGTCAAATAGTTGAAAAGAAAAGCCTGAAAGTTCCTCCCAGACCATCTTCCATCTTAAGAATTATGCTGCATTAAAACAAGTCTGATTTAAAATATTTCTGAAATATTGTTATCTTATTATTATACTTTTATTCATGATTACAATATCATTTTATCAGGAAGAAAGGAAATTGTAGATATTTACAAAATCATATTATTTTTTTTCTTTGAAGTCTCACTGCCACTCTTTTCTGTAGAACAGTATATCCAAGATGGCATACTGGGTTCAAACAGTAGTGCAAATTTCTTGATCATTGCATGTAGAGCTACAGAGAATGACTGGCCAGTTACACACATTATCAGCAAACTTCCTTTGTAAGTCAATAATGACTTCTGTGTCTGCTTAGATATACAGCCATTGTATGATATCAAAAAAACATGGTAGGAAAACACATTTACTTCCTTGACTCTAGATCTATTTAGCTCCTTTTCTGCATTCATGATAGCTATTAGTTATCAAGTTTTTTTAAAAAAATAAATATGGGAGAACAAAAAAAATGCCCTGAATCGATCCATTAAGATGCTAGTTTTCAGTCTACAGAATCAAAACCCCAATTTATTTATCTTCTTCATTCTTGATTTTAACACCAACCAAAATTTTTTATTCTCCACCTGAGGTTATTTGCCATAGGATGGACAAGCAGTTTTGCATACACAAATATTTATAGGCCTTTCTGTAAATACTTATCACCATGTTTGCCTATTGTTCTGAAAGTATCTCAAAACAGAATTACATGGAAAACATAGAGAACTGTTTGCAAATGTTACTAATGTTATCTCTCCATTATTTCTGTTAAAAACACCTAGAGGACTTTGTGAAATTTTATGTGAGAATCCATATGTTACCATATGACAGAATGTAGCTATGAAAACTTTTAATTCTCTTTTTTGTAAGAGTTATCAGAAGGTTGTTTTGCATTGTCAGAGACAAACTGAATTCATGCAATACCTACTTGCATCCTACCCAAATTGCTTTTACAGAGCTGTGTGTTGCTGGTTTGTGATTTTGGGGGTTTCTTTGTTTTAAGATTTTTGGGTTTTTGGGGTTTTTTTTATTACAAAGATACTTGAATAGCTTTAAATATAGAGCTGATTAAAGTCTTATTTGTTTCATGTACAGAGAGAAGGATAGGCTGGAAGAAATTTCCCCATGAGAGACTGGTTTAGTTCTGATATTTCCGTCTTGTGCTTTCTTAGATGAAGATAGAGTGATTGCTGCCAGTTGGTTATTGGAATGCAAATGACCTAAACATCATTCAAAAAAATTGAAAGAAACCAAATTGTTTGCTTGATACCTTCTGTTTGTCATTGACAATTTATGGATATTGTTAACAACAACATTTTTCAGAGGGTATGTGAAAGGGGGAGGGAAATGGGAAGGCATATATTAATTTCAGGGCCTAATATTACTGACTTCAGCTTTAGGAATCATGCTTTTGAAGGTAAGTATTACAGATTATTATAGTACCTCTGCACTTTCTAAAATGCAGTTTGTTTTAAATTGCTTATGTGGTTTGTATTTTGTGTGTGTGTGTGTGTGATGAGAAAGTGGGATATTTAAAATATTTCAATTAAATTGATGTATTTTTTTTTTCAAATTAAAATGTCTTCTTGTTATTATTAAAAATTATCTAATTCTTTTTATTCAGTCATTTATGTGCTTTGGCTTTTTTTAGCAATTAAACTGCCTAGATTTACAATATGGCTTCATTTTAATGGAATTTCAAACCCCAAAGACATACTAACTTATACCTTGTTAAACAGCTTCTTTTATATTTATAGTATTATCTATAATACAAAACAGCTATTTACTTGATTTTCTTTCCTTGTTGGTTTAGTAACAGCCTAATTAATGTGTCAGATAGACAGTAATATAAACAATATATGGAGGTAAAATGTGCCTGTTTCTCAATTTGTGCAGGCAAGGCATGGTACCATGTGAAGCAGAAATGTCAATCCTGAAGTTATCTTCCAATACAAGTATAACTAGAAATTTCTGGTCCAGCTCTTATTGGCTTGAAACAGGATCTGTATTTGTTGGCGGTTTGCCTCATCCTTATGCAGCAAAACAGGTATTTACTACTACTATTATTACTATTAATAATAATAATATAATTAATATTATTAATATTATTGGGGGTGGTGGTGATTTTTATTTATATTGTATTACTTTTAGGACTGGAATGTTGATGAGATTTAAATCATCCAAAAAATAAAAATTACAGCTTTTTGAGAGTTACATCTAAGGGATGAGTATGGTCCCTTGCAGAGTACTGCTCACATGTGGTACTTTGGTAAATGAACAAAAAGGACATTATGGTCTGAAGTCATTATCTGAAATTCTGTTCAAAAGTTTTAAATTCAGTTTTTGACATAAGGTGCTGGTGACCTCACTAGTCACATAGCTCCAAGTTGGTCTCTTTCACTTATCCAAAGCCAAACTGTGTTGCTACCTAGACTATTTAACTCCCTTGTCACATTCCCAAATGTGCTTCCAGAATATCAAACTGTTCACCATTACACAATAAAGACTATCTGTGAGTGTTTGTGTTTTCCACGTTGTGAAATTAATTAAACTGTTAACACTGAGTTGGTGTAGTGTGGGTCTCATTTATCTGAACAAGGATATTTGCATTGGTGCCACCTCACAACCATAGCAGAGTTAGACTGCAGGGGTTTTTTTTCTCCAGTGCACTGTGAAAACTGGGCTTATGTAGTCCAGTTTTCATTTTTTAAGCCATACTTTTGGGTAGGCTTCACCCTGGGCAATTGATTTAGCCTTTTTATTTCTGTTCCATTCTTCAGTAAGTGAAGGTCATCTCACCACGAGGCAAATAGAATCATTTCAAGCACAGGCATGTTTTTGATACTGCTACTGTAATGCAGCATTTCTAGATTGCTTTCACCTTATAATAAATTTCATAGTAATCAATGATGAGACAGGACTGTTGAAATCCAACTTAAAAGTTCTTGTAAGTATTTTTACATTGTAAAATATTTTGTAAAACGTGCTTCTAAGTAGCTCATACTGACATTAAGAGAACACATCAAGTAGCATTCATAGTTATACAACTTTTCCCTTAATTCAAATGTTCATACACAAACTATACCTTCATCTGGAATATTTTATCCTCAGTTGCATATAGAATTTTATTTACTACAACAATGTATCCATACTAATGAAATACATGAAAATTATATTTTCAACGTTTAAATGGCCTGCCTTCTAGAAGTTAAGAGAAATTTTAGTGTATTTTAGAACAGGTAAAGAAGCAATTTGTTAGAAGGATATAGTTATAGCGTGTATATGAGAATTAATTTTGAGATAAAAATAGCTCTTTACTAGCTAAAGGCCAAATAAAATCCAGAAAAATAAATTTACATTAGGGAAGCTCAAATAGCAATGAAACACATTGGTTTAAAGGTAATTTATTGCTAAAAATGTTGCCTGCATGTGTCGGATTGTCATATCAGCATGGGCTTTCCTTCTTTGACAATGTTGTAGTTCAATTCTGTTCTTAATGCAGGATTCATAGGTGAGATGTTGTGGTTCGTGATTGTTATCTAAATTAGGCAATAGATGTGGGACATGTACAAGTGCTCAGGTTGCTGATACTTAACCTCTACTAATACTTGGAAAGCATGTGTTCCTATGACTTCCCCTAAAAGACAAAAATATACCCTCTACTCTCAGTTGCCTCTGTCGTTTTCTATTGAAGTTTCTTGCAGCTTTCTTTCTGAGATGACCTCAGCCTTTATTACACTTAATTTTCTTTGCTTATTTGTGATTTTTGTGTTAATATTGATCTTAGTATCTCATTTTGCTTAATTTTTTTAGCTTCAGGGAAGTTCATTTTCCTTGGCTTCCCTGTCGAAGTCTGTAGGTTCCAAGACAAATATAGTCTGTAAAGGTTGGGTTTTTTTCCTTTTGTCAGGGAATGGAGAACTGCCTGTCCAAGTACTCTTTATGTGGGCTTTTCAACCCCAGCAGTAGGAAACCACTCCAGAAAGTTTCTTTTCCATCAGTTTAGACCCAGGCAGTCAGGTTTCTATTGTAAAACCTTCATCATCCCTGAAACAGAACAGATCTGTTTCTGACCTTCGTCCTGCAGTTTGCTTCAAGGGAGATTTCTGCTCCAGCTGAGACTCAGCTTTTTCTGACAAGTGCTCTGATCGCTCTTGGAGTCAAGTTTGATAATGACCCTTGTGATATCTACAGTATTCACCTAATAATACATTGTCTTGTTTTAGCTCCTTCTCTCATAGGAGTAGTTCACTGTAATGTTGGTTCTCCTACCTTCCAGTATTGTGGAAGTTTCAGAGAACAGTGACTTCAGACCCCAGACTCCTTCAGTTTCTGACTAACAGGAACTTCTAGCTGTCAGTACCAGAAACTGTTGACATGGGAGTCACGTATAACTGGAATTGGCTCATGTTAAATGATTCATTTCTGGGATAGATTCCTCCTCCTTTAACTTTGATTGAAGTTTGAGATATCCTATAAAGCCCTCAGGGTAAAATATTGTCTCCTCTGATGATTTCCTCTACATTTTCCTAATCAGCTCTGAAATGTCCATGCATTCTTTCCACATATATTTTTTTTTTCCTGTATGCTTATTATTCGGTATTCCTTAGAATCAGAGTGCACTCAACATGTAAGGCAAGGTGCAACAATTCTACTGATTTCTCTCATTTCTGTCACAGTCTCTTCAGGAGATCAGAGCCTTACCCTCAAGCAGTGATGCTTTTAAAATAAAGTCTGTGACATGTGGGGAAGCAGTGGCATAATACCCAATAGATTTCTTCACTATTCAGAAGATCTTAGACCTCCCAGATCTCAGTTCTAGTGTCTGTGGTTGGTGGTGAGAAACACTAGAGCAAGATAAAGTTATGGACTGCTTAAGTAAACCAGACATATAAAGTACCATGGATCCAGAAAGACGCTTATAAGTGTGCACCCCTGGATGATGTTATCAAGAGGCACTCTCCATTACCTCTGAGAGCCTGGAGCAACCAGAGGAAGCCCCTGATGACAGGGAAAAAGACAAATGTGATGTTATGTTAATCTTAAAAAAAAGCCAGGAAGGAAGATGGGTAACCATGAGCCAGCCAGGTCAATGGCACAATTATGTTCCTGATACTAATATAGAAACAAATGAAGGACAGGCACATCCTTGGGAGCAACCAGCATGGATTTACCAAAGGGAAACTCTGCCTGACAGTATGCTTACATTCCCTGTTCAGAAGACTGGCTCTGTGGGAAAGGGTAGGGCAGTGGATAGTCCTTACTTCATATCCCAAACAGCTTCACTCCCAACACTTACCTCCTACCTCTGAGTGGCACAGGAGGATGGGAAATGGGGGTTATAGTCAGACCAGTTTGTCTCTGCCACTTCTTCCTCCTACACATCTACAGCTCTCTTAGCTATCCACAGGCCAAAGATGGAAAAAGTATTTGGCTTGGTATGAATTCTGAAGGATCTGAAGGTGTGGGTAGAAATCAAGGTAGCAGATATGTGCACTGAAACACCTTGAATGAATCCAAATTCAAATTCAAATTCGAGCACTGCAATCTGTTTCATACACAGCAAGAAATTGTTTTTATGACTCTGTAAACTGTCCTTTGCAAAGTTTAGTGGAGTCATCTGACAGTCTAGGAAGCCACTGCTGAACAGCCAGAATGAAAGCTAAACTATAAATAGCTGGCTGGCAGACATCTTGTCCTGATGTCTCACCACAGCAAAAAAAATCCCCTTCAGTTCTGTGCCAGCTTTATTTATTACTTATTTTTATATTCTGTCCTATTTCTTTGATAAGGAATATGATGGGAATAGTTCAGACTTGCCACAGGTAAATGGAAAAATCAGTTAAATGATTAAATAGCATAATCTTTTTAAAACATTGAGGTTTTAAAGCTATTTATGATCACTGTTTTTTAAGACATAAAAATCAACAAGAAAGGGAGAGAAACCAAAATATACACAGAAGAAAACCCCTTTTTGATCAGAAATTGAAAAAGGTATTATTTTTGAAATCTCAATACATGTTTCAGAATAATTAATTTCATGTTAGGTTTTGTAATTGTTATTAGCAATTGCTATTGATAATTGTTTATAATAGCTTTTTCTCTGCAGAGAAGATTGGTACACTCAAAGGGAAATTACAGATTGTTTTCAAATACCTACAGCAGCAGCAGTTGATTGCAGTAATACTGTTATTTCTGCTTCTATAATTGCTCCAGTAATTTATATTTCTAGACTCAATAGTATTTTAGTAGTGAGAATGTGAACTGTCATTATATCTTCACCTTCCTGTTCAAGTCAAGCAGTTCTCTATAATTAAACCTTCAAAATACTAAAACAGGGAAGTTTCAGAAACAAAGAAAGCTTCTATACCAGGAGAGCATTCTTTTAAATAAAGATAAAAGATTAAGGAGAAGGTGTGCAAATACATATGTGAACATCAATATGTTACCAGTGGGGAAATGGCAAGAGATAATTCAGTGATATGCTCAGGATCATAGTGTATTAATGTTGAAACTAAGGTGAGATGGAAATCATTATACATCTAAAGACTCAGACTAGGAGACCACAGTAGTTTAGCAAGCTTGTACTGTAAATACAAGTGTGTAAAATACACTATGCATATGTAAGAACACATACAGTTTTCCAGTGAAAAAGAGATAATGTGATACTATCATATGTATCATATACTATCATATGTGTAGCTCAGTTTTAAGACGTTCTCAGGTATATACATATGTAGATAAAAATGTCTTAAACATTTTATTAACCAACTGCTAAAACACAAAATTACATTCTTTTTTAATAACTCATCCACAGAATTCAATGGCATTGAGTGAAGAAATGGACCATGTGAAACAGGTGTTACAAAATACAGAATCAGACCCTTAATTTAGAATGATTCAAAAGTAATTTGCTCTCTGCTACAGCTGCTGTGCTTCCATAGACTAACACAACAGTAACCCCTCTGTAACTGTCTAGTTAGAAACAGTTTATGATCCATTTCCCTTGCCAGAGCATTGCAAAGCAGTGGGAGAATTTAGTACAAT